GAGCTGAGGGAATGCTGCATTTAGGGAGGGTCAGTGCTGAGGGAAAAACATACTTTGGGAGGGTCAGTGCTGAGAGAGAGCTGCATTGTCAGAAATTACATTTGCCTGATAAGATGTTAAAGCCATTTGGACTCTCAGGTGGATGTGAAAAGTCCCGTGGTGCTTTTGGAAGAAAACCGGGCCTCCGTGTATCCTACAGTGATATCATTAAAACATATTTTCAAACCATTATCACATTACTAGTTATACGATTTTGGTATGGACAAATGGTTGCTGCATTGCCTGCTTAAGACAGTAACTGCGCCTCCAAGAGTATAGTGCATTTTGGAACTTTCCGAGGTTGTGATAGGTGCTATAGAAATACAAGTCTTTCTTTCTGTGTCCACACTGAAATATGTGTACCACCTGTATATGAGTGAGAAATCTGTGCTACTTATATAAGAAGGGAAACCAGTTTTATTTGACTTCAATAAGCATCTTAGGAATGATCAGTTTTTCTCTCTCAGATAATGGTTTCTTTTTGATATTTGGTGCAGCTTTAGCCAACTGTTGACATTAATTTACATTGGGTCCCGTGTACAGATACTGGCCACTCAGCCCAAATAATCAGTACCAATGGAGACAAAACCCTCACTTCTCTTCATCTACCCATACCAACATTTCCTGTATTTGTTTTGCTGCTCATTTGCTAATCTAGCTTCCCCTTAAATGCACCTGGGCTACTAAGTTAAAGCACAAAAAGAGCCATGTGGCCCATCATATCTGTGCTGGCACTATGAAAAAAGTATCCAATTAGTCCTATTCCCCAACTCTTTTCCCACAATAATGCATTTTTTGTTTCCCTTTCAAATATTTATCCAATTCCCAGAGGTTTCCATCATCCATTGATGCAGTGAACCTTTCAAAAGGGAATTAGATAAATATCTGAGAGGCGGAAAAAATGTAAAATGTGATTTAAATATCTGAAAGGGGAAAGAAAGTAGATGGAGCAATATTTCAACTCCTGGAATCTCAATCTAAACTCATTAAGATCATGATCATGTCTTTCTACCATGTGGCTAACAGCAAGTTTTAGCCTCACCTCATAGAATCACTGAGAAGGCTATTCAGCCCATTGTGTCTGCACCAGCTCTCCAAATGAGTGTGACAATTTAGTGCCATCCTCTTGCATTTTCACCCTACCCTTGCACATTGAATGGTTATTTAAATAGAAACTATGCCTTCTTGAATACCTGAGTTGAACCTGACTCCATCTCCTTTCCAGGAAATGCATTCCAAACACTAACTGAAAGGTAAAATCGCATTAGTCTTATCAGACCATAACTTTGCTGTCTCATTAGAGAGAGAGGCAGCTGGTGGTGGTTTAACCCGAGGGTCAGGTAAGGGGAGAGGTTGAGGAGATTCCTTCATAGTAACATTCCGTCGTGTGAAAAAGGTTTCCGTCGTGTCACATTTGCTTCTTTTGCAAATTACTTTAAATCCATGCCTCCTCATTCTTGATCCATCTACAAACGGGAATAGTTTCTCTGATCTAGCCTCTCTAACCCCATAAGAATTTTGAAAATATCTAATAGGTCTCCTCTCAGCCTTCTCTCCAAAGAGAACAGTCCCAACTTCTCCAACCTGTCCTCTTCACTCAAGTTTCTCATTCTAAGAAATATGCTTGTTACCCTCTTCTGCATTCTGTCTCAGATGCATTCACATCTTTCCTTTAATGTGACACCAAGAACTGTGCACAGTACTCCAGCTGAGTTCTAACAAGTGTCTTATACTTACTGAGAGCCACTGGAAAGAATCACATAGACCAAGACCACAGTAAGCATCATCCAGAAACTAGCTCTTTCCAGCTGGGAATCCATTGCATGCTGTCTTCATACTATCACCTTTGTTCTTGTGCACTCTTCAGCAAAACACTGCTCCCTTGTGTAAGCAGGGAGCAGGCACACCAGCCTAGACACTGTCCTCAACACATCAATATTGGATCATTGGTGGCACACTGAAAATTCAGTGACTGTGCAATGCCCCAGGCTGGTCTAATATCCACCTGCGTCAAAAGGCACAAAAACTCTGAAACTATTTCACTATATTGAAGTCAATCCAGAATTGTCAATCTACAAAGACCTTTGGGGTCCATTGCATATGCAACTCAAATTGCAGTTTTTTGGAACTCTGTGAATGCTTGAAGCAATATGGATTTTGACAAAAAGGATCAAAGTACCTTATACACACTGGTTTAAAAAGTTGTTTTGGATGCATTTAAAGAATTCTGCTCCCTCTAAACCTTTCACGCTGTGACAACCCCAGTTAATGTTGAGACAGTTGAGATCTCTTACTAACTCTACCCTATTACCTTTACATGTCCCTGAAATTTGCCTATACATCTGCTCTTCTATTTCTCTGGACTGTTTGGGGGCTATAGTACACTGCCAGCAATATAATTACTCCTATTTGGTTTTTAAGTTCAATCCACATGGCTTAATTTGAGGAGTCTTCTGAGATGTCATCCCTCCTTACTGCTGTAATTTCCTAACAAAATTGCATCGCACCCTCCTCTTTACCTCCTTTCCTGTATCATCTGAAGACCGCATATCCTGGAATATTGAGCTGCCTGTCCTGCCCCTCTCTCAACCATGTCTCAGTGACAGCAATGGCACCATATGCCCATGTTTTAATTCGTGCCCTCAACTTATCTGTCTTGTTCATCAGACTCCTAGCATTAAAATAAATACCATCCAACTTTGCCAAACTGCCTTGTGCCATTGCTGGCCTACAAATGTCTATGCTTTCCTGACTTTCTTACTTTCTTCTCTAAATTTGGCCATTCATTCACCCTCTCCCTCCACCCTGCCAAGTTAGTTTAAAGTGTCCCCAACATCACCAGCAAACCTTCCATCAAGGACGCTGGTCCCATTCCGATTCAGGTGTAACCCATTTGCGTTGTACAGGTCCAACTGCTCCCAAAAATGGTCCCAATGCCCCAAAAATCTAAATCCCTCCCTCCTGCACCATCCCTCCAGCTATGCATTCATCTGAACTAACCTCATATTTCTATACTCACTCACACAATAGTTATAAAATTTCATATGTAAGAAGGAGATAGTACACTCCCTATTGTAATAATTCACTGTCTCAAAGAGTGGTGGCCACATTTCTCTTCTTCCTCAACTTGTCTAAACACCTTCAAAGGCTTATGTATGTGATCCACCAGGTTTCTGTCTTTCTGAACCTACTTATAAAGTTGTATAACTTATTTAATTTGCACTTACACTTTTTTATTCAAATCTTCATTCAAATCTTTCACTTAAGTAGAAACACTACTCAAAATCTACTCTACCAAAACTCTTTCAGAATTTTAAAAAGCTCTGACTTCTTCTGACAGGGAAAAGAACCACAACCTGCTTTTCCTGATAGATTCTCCTGATTGGTGGTTTCCTCTCAGTTCCTTATCCAGTCCATCTGGAACACAGAATCAAGGAGAGCCTACTGTGCCATTCAAAGGGTTAACTGATGTGACACCTAACTCCACATCCCATCTTTACTCATATGCCTGAATATTTTTGGTTAAAATAAAGTTGTCAAACACAGATTTAAAGCTCTATTCTTTCTTTAATACTGTCACTGCAGTGTAACGGTAGCCGATATAACAGCTCGATTTCATTAATGTGGTGCTGGTGAACCACCCAAACAAATGGAAGGGGGATTGTTGGGACAAAGTGTAAAGTTGAGATTTATCTGAGAGAAAGGGTAAGGAGCCATTTATGTGCAAGGGTTAAATGACTGTCTAATAGTAAGAGAATCTGCATTACTGTAGAGAGTTGTGGAAATAAAATGTACGTAAATAAAATGGATTGCAAGATTTGCAGACAACCTGACTCTGGAATTGAGCTTTATGTTCTTAAATTTTTGTCAGTGAACATATTTGAAATGAAACTGTGTCAATGACCAATTTTTTGTGTGCCCAAATCCAGGTGGAATTAGAAGGTCTAACTGGTCATGTTGAATTCAATAGCAAGGGTCAAAGAACTAATTACATTCTGAAGATTATGAGACGCAGTAGAGATGCACTGAATCAGGTAATGGGAGAATTTTCACTTCTGCTAGAGCATTTTTGTAGCTTCTTTTGGGTTTAGTAAACAACTTTGAGAAATCTTCATGCTGTGTTGTCAGCAGCCAAACTCATCTCCACAGAAAACAGTTGAAAAAAAGTTCAATTCTGGTTCCGCCATGATGGACTGATCATCTCTTCCCAAGGCCTCAATTACTATTCAACAATTGCCATCTGCTGGAACATAGGATCTCTTCCAGATTTGCCAGAACCTATTCCAAGGTACTGACCTTATTGATAGCCAACTTCTGCTTAAACACAATGCTCTTCCCAGGGTTCTTACATCTGTTGGAACCCTTTCAAGCAAGAATCGGCTTGCAAATAACTCCGCGCCTGACCTTACACAGAAGCTTGTTCAGTCTGCTTCATTTCACATCTAGATACCTTGTAAAGATGGTTTCTGGGAGACCAGGACTCTGTAACTATGGCTGATGACACAGATTAACACTGATTAACTAGGAATAGAGCAGATGATAGGCCTGCTGAAAGTGAGCTTGCAATACTTGGGGGTTCTTGCGGCACTCTTCAGACAGTGTGCTTCATAATCCTTGTATAACCACATTGCTGTAGGTCTGGAGTCACATGTAGACCAGACAAGGTAAGAATGACAGTTACCTTGCTGATGATTGACTGTGGACCGATGAGGTTGTAATTGGATGGGTTCGATTTTTCCTTCTCACTTAGGCATGAGAATTTAGTGTCCAGATTTCAAATATTTTATTCAAATTTATACCAAATGATTTATCTCACCTCTCAGTTAACCATTTTCTGTTGTTCTTTAGCATTTGTATTTTCTCTGAGATACTGTTACGACCAGGTGAGAAGGGGGAACCAGCTTCTCCTATCTTTAGTTTGTCACAAAAAAAGTTTAAGTTCTTTTTAACATGGGACTACATGTTTCTAATCAAAAATATAGTTAATTTTTTTTACCGTCAGCAATAAGGATTCAAGTGCCTCGTTTTCTTGAGCTTGCTACACCTCACTTGGGTAGTGTGCTGAGTCATCACAAAGTTAAAGATTGTAAAAAGTACACAAAATTCCTGATTTCCCTGTCTTTTAGGTGACAGAAAGCATGGAACAGGTTTCTGGCCTTAAGAAGAATTACTCTGTGTTACAAATATAGATTCTAGCTATAGATAAACAACTTTGACCTGTTGCCATATAACTTTAGCAGTTAAACACTAACCCACCTTCTAAAATTCCCTGAATGCACACACATTCAGACAAACACATAATAAATATTGGTGTTATGGGTGAAGGGAAAAATTAGGAAGACAGTTCAATGGCCCCTGTCCAACTGGTTTGCTAAGATGATCCTTTTGTCTTGCCAGAACTCGCTGCTCCTCAAACTCTCTTCATTAGTTACTTTCACTGGCTGCAGGGGGCACAGAGACATCAGTTCAAACCATATAGTGTCTCTGATTTATTGGTTAAAAGTCACGGCTTACAGCAACTGCTGAAGGAAAATAAATTGATTTTTTTCAGTCTGTAGGTATTTTTAACTACAGAGTAAGGACAGCGCCTTCCCTTTTAGAAGTTTGAAGGCTTCTGGCTATAATGTTCACACGCACAAGCTGTTCAACTACCTGGGAGCCAATCACACTGTTGTTGACAGGCAGAAGGCCTTTGTCATTGACAATTGGTCACCACCCCCAGACCAATCAGCTACTTGTTGCCAGCCAGATCTCATCTTGTTCACAGCCCCAGTACCAGTTTGTCCAGAACTAAACCTCCTGCAGTGGTTGAGCAACAACAGTGCAAACTGAATGTTCTTAAAAATTACTGGCATTTATTATAAGTGCATCAATCTCTTTAGCAATCCTAGGTTTCAAAACAGTCCTTTTCCCATTAGTGCATAATCAAGAATACAGAAAAATAAAATAATATGGTCTTTACTATTTAAGGAAGCAGTACATTTATTACCTGCTAAGACTAAAAAAAAAGAATGGACATCAAGCATGGCCTCTGTTCACTTCCTTGGGCACTCATTTTTCTACTCACACATGCACAGATATGAAGTTACAGGAGACTGTGTCTAATATAAAGGATATGCAATGAGAGTCCTTTCGTTGTCTTTTAAAGCATGAGGCTTCCCAGACCAAGTTTGGTTCATTGGTTTATTGGATGCAGTCAGCAGTGGTGAATGTTGCAATAACCTTAAAGTTCTCAGTTTGCTGGTGCTTCTTTTCAGGAGCTGGCACTGTGAAAACCACGTGCTAGGTTCTTTGAGCAAAAGAGGGAATTGGAGATATTTGCTTCCCTTTCAGTAATCTCCCAAAAACTCTCAGAACCTCCCTTGAAAAATTTATTCCAATGTATACTTCTGAGAGGTTATTTTTGGTGGGTCTGTCTGTGATAACCATGATTTCACTGTTCAGTATTTTGTATTTATTAATGTCTCCTTAAAATTGTGATAGATTTCACTGGATGTCTGGCTTATTGAGAGTTTCATATATCATCTTTTGAAGGTGATTCATTTGTTCTGTCACTTTCATCTTGAGGTTGCTTTGTATTTTTTTAAACAGTTTTCTTTGTATATGTTGCAATTTGATAAGAGACAATACAGTAAAAATTTAAAACATCAGATCTTCAATAATAAAGTGGTGTAGCCTCGTGACGATACACACAGAATTAGATTAATGAAGGATGGAAGTATTAAGGTATAAATGGGTTTAGATACTAAGTAGCCCAGAGAGATGGTAAGCAGTTAGGATTAATAGACTTCAGAAAGACAGAAGACAGAGTTTGATGCTCTCATTTCTAGTAAATTTGGCAGTAGGGGTCATTCAAATGGGTGTACGGGAGCCAGTTGAGGTCTAACCACTCACTAGTACCCTGATTACTTTGTCCTAATAAACTATGTGCATATTTAATGTCCAGTACTGGTATCCAAATGTCCGTCCTTCTGACCTATGACACACTTCCTATAGTGTTTAGACCAGAGGTGGCAGCCTCATAGATACTCGGGGTTCGGGTGACATTTTGTCATTAGAGTTCCAGTGTAATTTTAACATGCTCATAAGGAATAACCCCGACCTTAACCCTAACTCTATCACACCCAACAATGAACCCATTAAGTGAGGACTGGCTGGATAGATTTTCCCGAGCCATTGTAAATAATATTTAAAGACATTTGCCGAACACACACATTCAGTCTGTATCTGTTTGCTACTGTGCTTTATTATTTTCATAGGAGTAACTTGAAAAATTGTTTTATTCTACGTACACATCCTCAGTAAGCACAACACTTGGAATAATGAGCAGCAATTGGACCTCATGGCTTCTGAGGATCTGTTTGTCAAGGGCCTTACAAGTTGGTAGGAACCCAGGACAGACTGTTACCAGAAATTCAGATGCAAGAGATGAACGGATGGCATTTCTCCAGGTGGCTGTCTCTCTCAGACCTCTGCAGCGAGGCCTGCTGGACCAGGTGGACACGATAGTGGCTGTGAAAGTCACCATAATCATTAATTTGTTTACTCCAGACTATTGCCGAGTTGCTACATGAGAATTTTCCTGTATCTTACAATCTGCTGTTAATTAATGGTTTAATAGGTCACCATAGGATCACAGGGACAGGGTGATGTTATTTAGCCCCTCAAACCCATTCTGTTATTTAATGAGTGGTGGATCAGCAGTCTAATTCTATAGCTCACTTTTGCCCTGTATCCCTTCATAACTCATTGACTAACAAGAATCTAACAATCTCACTTTTATCAATTGCTCCACCATCAATTGCCATTTCCAAATAGGAGTTTCAAATTTCTTCTCTTGCTGAGAAAACATGTTTTTTTTTAATTTTTGACTATACCCCAGTTCTCAACTTCACATCAGCAGAAATACTTCCTCTAAACCTAACCTATCTGTTCCCCTTATTATCTTGAAACCATTAATTACAGCAGACTTAATCTTTTAAGTATAGACTGAAACGGCATGGAGACAGAGCCTTGAGCCCAGCTTGTCCATGCAGACCAGGTTTCCTAAACTGAACTAGTCCTATCTGCCTGTGTTTGGCTCATATCCCTCTAAACCTTTCCTATCCTTGTACCTACCCAAATTTCTTTTAAATATTGTAATTGTACTCACCTCTATCACTTCCTCTGGCAGCTCATTCCATATATGCAACACCCACTGTGCGGAAAAAGTTGCCCCTCAGATCCCTTTTGAATCTTTTCCCTCTCACCGCCCTTTGGTTTTGAGCTAACCCACCCTGCGGAAAAGACCTTGGGTATTTACCTTAACTATGTCTCTCATGGTTTTATAAACCTCTAAAGGTCACCCCTCAGCCTCCTATGCTCCACGGAAAAAAGTCCCAGGCTATTCAGCCTCTCCTTATAACTCAAACCCTCCAGTCTCGGTAAAATTTTTGTAAATTGTTTTTGCACCCTTTCCAATTTAATAACATTCTTCCTATATCAGGGCAACCAGAATTGTATGCAGTACTCCAAATGTGGCCTTACCAATGTCTTGTACAGGTGTAACTTGATATCCAACTCCTGTAATCAATGCTCTGACCAATGAAGGCAAATGTGCCAAATGCCTCCTTCACCACCCTGTCTACTACCCGAGTTGACATAATCTGTCCTGATAACAAGATTTTATTTCCTCTCAAAGGGTACTTCAGCCTTTAAGTCACCAAAACTTAGTTATTTCAGTTAATGTGCATAGTTGCAAATAATTTTATTTCATAAGTCTTATGTCAATGACATTTCAAAAGTAAAAGAAATTGGAGGCTTTGTTTAGGTTTAGATTAGAGAACTGAAATATTGTGAGGAACTGCTTTTTGCAGGTGTTTTTCAGAAAGTTGTCCTCAGAAATTGATATTGATGGTAATGAAATTGAAGTCACAGTAAGAATAAGTGAGAATTTAAAATAACAAATATTTTATGGTTTTAACTCTTTTCCCTTCTCCGTCAATAAGTATAAAATTTTGTTTCTTTCCACAGGTTGGAATCTGGCACTCACAGAATGGGCTAGTGATGGACAAAAAAAATTACTTTTTAAATGCTTCAGAGAGTTTGTTCAATAAGACTCTAATAGTGACAACAATTTTGGTAAGCACTAGCCATAAACAGCAATAGTACAATTGAAGAGTTTAAAATGGAAAGGTTAACCTGATACACACTTCCAATGTGCAAAAATACTTATTCATTGAACTATCAAAGTCTCATGGTATGAGTTAATCATGATTCAAATAGCACCATCCAAAGCCAAGGCTATAAGAGTGATGAGATACATAAGATATCTGAGGTATATTCACCTAATTATAGTGGCAATCTCATATAATTCTTGAATTAGCTTTATAATGACATGTACTCGTATGAGTACAGTGAAAAGTTTTGTATTTGAATAGGATCAACTGGCTATAAAGTTTAAATGTTGTCTTTGTATTGTCACAAAAACAGCCATAGAAAGAAAATTTGAATCCAAAAATTGGTTTTAGATCAATTCTATTTGATATCTCCTTTTTTTTATTCATTCATGGGATATGGGCATCACTGGGTTAGGCAGCATTTATTGCCCATCCCTAATTGCCCAGAGGGCAGTTAAGAGTCAACTACATTGCTGTGGGTCTGGAGTCACATGTAAGCCAAACTAGGTAAGGATGGCAGTTTCCTTCCCTGAGGGACATTAGTGAACCAGATGGGTTTTTCTGACATTTGGCAATGGATTCACGGTAATCATTAATTCCAGATTTCTTTTCTTGAATTCAAATTCCTCCATCTGCCGTGGCGGGATTCAAACCTGGGTCCCCAGAATGTTACCTGGGTCTCTGGATTAACAGTGCAGTTATACTACAACTAGGCTATTGCCTCCCCTAATTCTTGGAGGCATACAAGTTTGCATTGGACTTGGGTTAACCGTTGAAAATTTATGGTCAAAATATTAATATATTTAAATGGAGTTGATCTTGTAAGGGTAACAAGATGAAAAAATGGAATTAAAATACACAACATCCATCATCACATTGAATGGTGGCATGGACTCAATGGCATGGCTGACATCCTGCTCTGCACATGTTTATGCAATTTAGAAGAGTTTCTGCTCAGAATTGTCGAGTTTGAAATGGTATTCAAACTGTGGACAACCTGCATGCAAACTGCTGCTGGAGAGGAAAGCTTTAAATGTAAGTTGAGATGAGATACTTGATTATTTTCGTTGATTTTAAAAAGGCTCAGGGATTTAATGATAGTTTTTGAAATTAGGAAGGAGTTTGATTGAGTGAAGATTGATTGAGATTCAGTGATGAGATTGAATCAACTTAAAATTATCAATAAGAATGAAAGAAAGATGCCAAAATTCCTTGTGTAGACTTGTGGAGGCAATACCTTACAAATGCAGCATCTTGTAAGAGGAAAAAATATGCATACTTGAAGCAGGGTAAACTACAGGACTGTACACAAAGTAGTAGAATAAGTTTGTAGTAAAGATCATCCACAAGCATGATTGATCAATAGCCTCCATTTGTGCTGCAAACTTACACAGTTCCCTGTTTCAACCATGTTTGTTCATGTTTGACCAGAAAACGTTGACTGATCCCCTTTGACCTTTGTGACTCGCAACATTATTATTTCTTGCTTCCTGTCATTGCCAGGTTTATGCCCAGAGTTTACCCATGTTCATTACACTACCCATATTATGCTAATTTCACAGTTCCCAGACAATTAGCAATTTTTGTGCCCGCAGTTCTAGTATTCCCTTTGCCTACCAGCTGTAAGTATAGAGGGTTTTTGAAGTATAACACTCTTTTATTTAAAAACTCTTAATTCTTAATTTAGGACAATGAGATCCTCAGTTTGCTTGACCTAACAAAATATGAATAAGCAGTATTATAAGTCAAGTAGAATTTATTAAGCAGGATTTTATAAATACTTAACAAACAAGAAGTGTAGCAAACAAGGAGAGTTCTTATTCTTCAAGGCCCAAGATTCCTTGAACATTGCCATTGTAGGCAATGCCTTTTTCCTGTTCTTGAAGTGATCTGAAGTTAAAGTGTCTAAGAAGAATTGTGCCACTGCAGCAAGTAAAACTATGCAGCAAAAACTCTTATTCCTAATTCCAAGAGTTGTTCATTTCTTACTGGGAAATGGTTTCCAGTAACTTGGTAGTAAGGGTTCAAGGGTTGCAGGGAGAAGGCCGGAGAATGGATATAAGAAACATGTCAGCCACGATTGAATGGTGGAGCAGACTAGTTGGTCTGAATGACCTAATTCTGCTCCTATATCCTATGGTCTTTCCATTAGCTTAAGATGAGAGTCATCACATGTTACCTCACTTCTGTAACTAGAGTCCTGGCAGCTAAACAAATATTCATCTCTTAGTTCCTCTAGCCTAGCTTTCATTGTGTGAAGAATTGACACAACATTTTAAATCAAGAGTTGTACAAGCAATGTTACATACTCCTATAAATAATGTCAACCATTGTAAAACCATTTACCTAACATTTCCAGGAATACCTAGCAATTATAAAGCAAAACATCATGATGTCTTTGAAAATATATAGGTATTTTATTCCACAGTTTTAGTTGATTGACTAAGTCAGTTAACAAAGTAAAACTTTTGAAATGTGTGGTTTTTGTTTAAGGATACCAGTTTAAGATGCTAATTTCAACCTTTTTACTTCTTTAGAGATGACAGACTTTAAATTGTACCTAGTGAACTAAAATAGGCACAATTGCTTAAGCCAGACTGTTTTGGCACCTTTGGGTCTTGCAAGCATCTGCCTTAACTTTCAATTATCCCATTAGAAATATAGAAAATAGAAGCAGGAGTAGGCCATTCAACCCATTGAGACTGCTCTGCCATTCAATAGGATGATGACTGATCCAACATTTTTCATTCCCACTTTCCTGCGTTTTCCCATGATCCTTGATCTCTGGACTGTTCAAGAATCTAGCTATCTCAGCCTTAAATATACATGAGGATTCTGTCACCAAAGCTGTAATGGCAAGGAGCTCCAAAGAGACTCAATCCTCTCACAGAAGAAATTCCTCTGCATCTGTCTTAAATTGGTATCCCTTTATTCTGAAACTATGCCGTCTGGTCCTAGACTCTCCACTGAGCTTGACCCTATCAATCATCTTAAAAATTGTATGTGTTTCAGTGAGATCACCTCTCATTCTTCTAAATTCCAGTGAATAGAGTCCCAACCTATTTAACCATTGCTCGACACTAGGGATCATTGGAGTGAACCTTCACTGAACTGTTTCCAATGAAATAATATCTTTCCTTAAATTAGAGGGCCAAAACTGCCCACAGTACTCCAGATCATCTGCCTCAATGCTATAATCCCATTCTCTTCTCATACCTTTTGACACCTTTAGCCCCTAGAAATCTGTTTCTTTCTTAAACATATTCAGTGACTTAGTGTCTGCAACTTTCTGTGGCAGAGATTTCTACAGGTTCATTACCTTCTGAGTGAAGAAATGTTTCATCTCAGTCTTAAATAATTGACACTGTGACCCTTTGTGCTGATCCCCATCATCAAAGGAAACATCATTCCTGCATTCAGTCTGTCCAGCTCTATTATAAACTTATATTTTAATGAAATCCATCTCATTTTTGTCAACTCCAGTAAATATAGGCAAAATCGACTTCATACAACAAACTTGTCCTGCCATGCATCAGTCTGGTTAAATTTGACTGCACTCCCTTTATAGTATTTTTCTTAGGTAAGGAGACCCAAGTGCACACAATACTCCAGATGTTGTCTCCCCTAGGCCCCATACAACTGCAGTAAGATTTCCTTGCTCCTGTACTCAAACCCTTTTGCAATAAAGTGATGTGTAATTTGCCTTCCCACTGATTGCTGCAAAATTACAGAGATTTAAATGGAAATGTTTAAAAAGATAGCTAAAGCAAAATCAGAAAATCAATATGGTACCCTATAAATTATCAGTATTGTTAAACAGCCATATAGTACGGAAGAGACATCTTGCCCCATTAAATACGTCCTGACCAGTCTACATGAGCCCTATTTTCCAGCACTTGACCCATAGCCTTAAATGTTATGACATTTCAAGTGCTCGTACAAGTACTTTGTAAAAGTTCTGAGGTTTTCAGCCTCCCAGGCAGTGCATTCCAGATCCCTCTCACCCTCAGGGTGAAATGATATTCCTCAATTCCCCTTTAAACCTGTCTAAAAATTGTGCCACCTTATTATTGGGTCTTCAAATCAGATCCCCTCTCAGCTTTCTCTGCTCAAAAGGAAACAATTTGACCTTATCCAGCCTCTCTTCATAACTAAACTGCTCCATCCCAGGCAACATCCTGGTGAATTTCCTCTACACCCCAACCATTGCTATCACATCCTCCTATAGTGTGGTGATGAGAACTGCACACAGCACTCCAGCTGGGGCCTAACCAAAGTTTTCTACAGTTCCAACATAATCTCCCTGGTTTTATAATCTGTACTATGTTAATAAGGGCGAGTATCACATATGCCATCTTAACCACCCTATTCTCCCATCCTGCCACATTCAGGGACCTGTGGACAAGCACCCCCACCGTCATGATCCCACTGTTTCATTGAGCTTCCTTGTGTCCTGCCATTCTTTGTGTATTTCCCTGTCTCGCATCACTTCACACATGTCAACTTCAAAACATCTAGCCCTAACACATATTAAATTTTTTATTAATCAACCTACTCAGTGATGCAATTACAACCTCTGGAACAGGTGGGACTTAAACCCGGGCCTCCAGGTCCAGTGGTAGGAATACCTACCATTGCACTACAAGAAGGCACCTAAACATTCCCAAACAGAATTTTATTTTTAATTAACCTATTTTTCTAATCAACTTGTTCAGAAATGTGATTACGTCCCTCTGGAGCAGGTGGGACTTAAACCTGGGCCTCCCAATCCAGAGGTAGGAACATTTACCACTGCACCACAAGAGGACCCCTTAAACATTCCCAAAGAGAACTTATTTTTTAAAAAAAAGTAACCTGTTTTTCTAATCAACCTGTTCAGAGATGTTATTAAATCCCTCTGGAGCAGGTGGAATTAAACCCGGGCCTCCTGGTCCAGGGGTAGGAACACCTACAACTGTGCCACAAGAGGGCCCCTCACCATCAATATTTTTTTAATTTAACCTATTTTTGTAATCCATCTGTTCAGAGATGTTATTACATACCACTGGAGAAGATGGAACTTGAACCTGTACCCCTTGGTCCAGGGGTAGGGACACTAATACAACACCTTGAGAGGGCCCCTCTCATCCTGAAGTACTATCATGAACAGGCAACATGGCTTTTTCCACTACCAAATCATCTGGGGCAATTTTAACCACCACCATTAAATCACCTGCGTTTCTAATTATTCAATTTAAGTGCACGACACTAAGTTATAGTCCAACAGTTTTATTTGAAATCACAAGCTTTCAGACCACTGTTCCTTCGTCAGGAGAGGGCAAACAGACACAGAGTTTACACATAGAGAGATCAAAGGATCATACAACTGGTGTGAGTGGAGTGAACAAGCATAAAATGGCTGATGGAGAACTCTGTTAGAAAGGAGACACAAGCTTCGATTGATTAAGATGAAAATTCCAGAATCTGTTTCAAGTCACTGCGCCGAGATAATTAAAGGTTTTATCAGTGTCTGCCAACTTTCTAAACTCCGGTCAGACATTGAATTGTAGGCATGAGGCCTTGTTCAGAATCTGTCTCGAGTTTTAACCTGGAATCAGGCTGGTTTTATTCCAAAAGCAGAAATTTATAAAATGCCACACTGACTGTGACTACAAATTGTGTGTTTCTTGAACAAAATAGAATGTATCTACAAATAAACAAACATCTTGGAATGAAATGATTCACCCCATAGGTTTTTGTGTGTGTGTGTGTCTGTGTCTGTGTGTGAGAGAGAGAGTGATGCTGTCAAAACAGGACAGTAAGGAAGATTTAACAGATATAGAATTGTATGGTGGGGTCACCTATAGTGCGACATGAACCCATTGTCATAGTTGAGACCGTCTTTATGAGTACAGAACTTGGCTATCAGTCTCTACTCAGTAATTCTGCGTTGTTGTGTATCTTGAAGTCTGCCTTGGAGGACGCTTACCTGAAGATCAGAGGCTGAATGTCCTTGACTGCTGAAGTGTTCCCCCACCGGGAGGGAACATCCCTGTCTGGCAATTGTTGCACAGTGTCCATTCATCCGGTGTCGTAGCATCTGCATGGTTTCACCGATATACCATGCCTCGGGGCATCCTTACCTGCAGCGTATGAGATAGACAATATTGACCAAGTCACATGTGTATCTGCCGTGCACGTGATGGGTATGTTCCCATGTGATGGCAGTGCCCATGTCAAAGATCTGACATGTCTTACAGAGGTTACCAATGACAAGGTTGTATAGTGTTGTGGTTGATGTTGTCCTGAACGCTGCTGGATAGTTTGCTGTGAATAATGGTCTGTTTAAGGTTTGGCATTTGTTTGAAGCTGAGAAGTGGAGGCATAGGGAATACCTTGGTAAGGTGCTCATTGTCATCAATGACATGTTGAAGGCTGCAAAGAATGTGGTATAGTTTCCCCACTCTGGGGACGTACTAGACGACGAAGGGAACTCTATTGGCTTTGGCCTGTGTCTGACTTCTGAGGAGGTCGCTGTTGTTTTTTGCTGTAGTAAGTCAGAACTGGTGATCAATGAGTTGAGCATTGTATCGTGTTCTTATGAGGACGTCCTTCAACACCTTCAGGTGTCTGTTGCATTCCTCTTCATCTGAGCAGATCCTGTGTATACTCAGAGCTTGTCCATTGGGGATGGCTTTTTAAATATGTTAAACATGTATAGAAGCCAGAGAAGTGCAACATCACGAAGTTATCTGTGGGCTTGTGGGAGAGTGAGGTACTGAGGTGACCATCCTTGATGGAGGTGCATGTGTCCAAGAGTGAGACTGATTCTGAAGAGTTCTCCATCAGCCATTTTATGTTTGTTCACTCCACTCACACCAGTTATATGATCCTTTGATCTCTTTGCTTGTAAACTCTGTGTCTCTGTGTCCTCTCCCACTGCACCCGACAAAGGAGCAGTGCTCCAAAAGTTTGTGGTTTCAAATAAACCCATTGGACTATAACCTGGTGTTATGTGATTTTGACTTTGTCCACCCCAGTCTAACACCGGCACCTCCACATCAGTTCAAGTGCAGAGCCCATTAACGGCAATGCAGTAACACTGAAGGTATACGTGTTTTACATTAAATGTCAATGACCCCAAGCTAGATGGGAGAGTAAGTTATCAGGGGCTGGTAAGGAATCTGCAAAATGATAGGGGTAGGTTAAGTGAGTTAGCAAAAATTTGGTAGATGGTTTATAATGCAGGGAAATGTGAATTTGTCCACTTTGACAGGAAGAATAGAAAAGCAGTTTGTTATTTAAATGGAGAATAATTGCAGAACTCTGACATTTGGGGGAATTAGGTGTACTGGCAGATGAATCACAAAAGACTGGCATTACAGGTATAAAAGTGATTAGGAAGATAAATGGAACGTGAATACTAATTACAAAGGGAACGGAATATTAAAGTAGGGGTTGCTTTACTACAGTTGTACATTGGTCTTGGTGAAATTACCTCTGGCGTACTATGCATAGTTTTGATCTCCTTAAAGGAGGGTGGACAGAAAATGGGAGCTGAGAACACCATCTGATCAGCCAAGATCTTATTAACAGGTACAACAGGCCCAAAGGGCTCAATAGCCTACTCCTGCTCCTAAATATTATGTCCTCATATATAACCAGAGACAAACAAGCAGGTCCTATTCCCTTTCTTGTTTCATTTATTTGCTCCCATTCCATTTTATGGTGTTTTATTTTCTTCTTTTTAGGTGTCCTCATAATATACACAGTTCTCTGCTCAGTGAACTTATTCCGCAAATGCTACCTTGAACTGAGCAGTAAAGAGGCAGGATGGGGCCTTCCCAGTAGTTGTGGTGAGTTTATTTAGTGAGTAACTGAGCCATACAGAATAGGAGAGCAGGTTAAATTCCCAGTCTTTAATAAATTACCTCTTTTCAAGCAGGGTCACCTGAGTGCATTTATATAAAGGAGGAAGCAGTCAACAGAATGGGACTTGGTTCCTCCCTCAAGATTAAAAGAATTAATCCTCTACTCAGTACACCTGCATTATAGCTTCACTAAGGCTGTGCCTCAAGTAGTAGGTGACACCTACTGACTGACCTGTGGCAATTTGTTGACAACTTTTACTGTACTTTAAGGTCATAGCTGAACACCTTGGAAATTATATTTCTGAGATGACTTAGAATAACAATGTTTCTTTTTATAAAGGACATTCCTGTCAAATGTTGTATTTTAGTACTATGACTTTGGATCATGAAGATGCAGTCACAGTGTCAGATTTCCAAATATCAGGATGAAACACTGCAGGCTTAACTGAATGGTCAGCTTGTTATGAATGACATTTAACTGACATACATCTGTAATTTTATAGGTTTTTATTTTATCAGGTCAATGGATTAATTTCTATGTTAAAATAGCAATGACAGGAATGCTGCATTATTGCAAAGTATTCAGGCATTAAAGTCACAGACAGTAATTTCTCAATTTCTGTAGTGATCTGCAAGAGTAAATTTCATGTGAAATGTAGACCTGCTGAATATGTACAACAGCTGAATGCAAATGTAATTTTCCTTTTCTGCAATGTTCTGTGAAACAGCCTTTGTGTGCCTACTCTGTTTAGCTCTTTGAACAAAGTATCGTATTTTCTTTAGGAAAATCCTTATGTGATGCTAAAACCAAACTACCAGGAATTGGAGGGAAATGATCGCTATGAGGGGTTCTGTGTGGATATGTTGAAGGAGCTGTCAGATATCCTGAAATTTCATTACAAAATTCAACTGGTAGCTGATGGTGTATATGGTGTTGCAGAGTCCAATGGCACGTGGACTGGAATGGTTGGTGAGCTTATTTCAAGGGTAAGTACCGAACAAAACAAACACAATGGCAAATGAATTATAAAGACTAGCTTTGAATAAGTTGAGGCTAAGTAGTCTTTCTCTGTAACTGAGGATCATGTTGATGCTAACAGTCATGCACTTCAGTGAATAGGCAAATCCTGGAAATTAAGCAATCATTTGAAAGGTTTCACTTGCAAGTTTCACTCCTTTGTACATTGAGAATATTAGTTCATTTTATGTCAGTGAATATATCATCAATATGAAAGCTTAATTGCAGGGAGCTCTAATGTATATCTGTTTCAAATCCCTGCTGTCAGCATCACAAATTACCAGGTGAGCAGTATCATTGTAAAATGTAGAGGAGAAGTAAATCACATCTCGTTTTAGGGCTGAATGTGTTCCTGTGCTAATGGATTTTTACTGTCCTCTCCCCATAATTCTCTTTCCCAATTGTGCTATCACCAAGTATGACTGTTAAAACATAACTGATAAAGTTTGGCAAATTTAACTTAGAAGTTTCACCTAGGAGTCTTTTAAGACACAGGGACTACCTTCCTCACAGCCCTATGGCTGCATGGCTGTGCCTACATGCCATGCAGTGTAGGGATTTAAGGAGGCAGTCCACCACCTGGGCCTGGGAGGCAGGGAAGGCATCAGGGCACAGTAACAGGGGCCCAGGTCCCTACGGAAAATGTGGTGTTCAGGTTGGGACCTGGGGGCCCAGGCCAAGAGTAACACTGGGCCCATGATTTTTATCCCAGCCCCTATTCACTGTAACCTAGTCAAGGACAATTAGTGATGCTCAATAATTTGGCCTTACCAGCAATGTGCACATCCCATGGATGAATAATTTTTAAAAACTTCCATTATATGTTTAAAAACACAGTTACAATATTTTTTTTTAACAAAGTCCATTCCTAACAGCAATGTTAACTTAGCAATCCTAGTTAACTTAGCTGATGGCAGCAGCTTTTATGTGTCCAATTTATGTAAATCAGTCATTATCTTGTATACCACTATAAAATCTCCCATCATTTTCTTTGCTCAGTCAAGAACAACACGGCCTTTTAAACTTCACCTTGCAGCTAAAGTCTCTCATCTGTGGCACCATTCAGGTAAATCTCTTATGCACCCTCTTGAGGAGCTTCACATGTTTCCTAAAGTGTGGTGACCAGAACTGGACACACTGCTGTAGTTGTGGCCCAGCCAGAATATGACTTCCCTGATTTTTGTACCCAATACCTCTACTTGTTAATCCCAGGATTTTACATGCCTTGCTGATTACATTCTTAATAGCATTATCACCTTCAGTTTCTGTTGCAGTTGATTTATATTACCTTGATTGTTTGCCACACCTCAAAAGTGATAATCATTGACAAATTTTAAAATTTTATGCACAATGACTTGGAGCATATTGGAATTCATATTTGTCAAGAAAATAAGTGGTTTTAGCACTAACCCTTGGAGTAACACCACTGTCTAGCATCTTGTTGTTTGATTAATGGTCACTTACCACAACACACAGATTCCTCTCCCTAAGTCAATTTTTCATTGAGGTTGACATTGACACACCTACTTCATGACACTGATTTTTGTTAAATACTGTTTTGTGATAATTTGTCAAATTATTTCTTAAAATCAGCATGGATAACATCCCATTGCCTTCATCACCTTCTGTGTTATTTCATCAAATAATGTACTCAGTGAAGCGCGATCTGCCCTTTACAAATCTGTGTTGTATGTCTTTAATTCAGATCTCTCAAGTGCCTACTAATTTTTTTTTGATTATTGTTTCTAAAATTTAACACACCACTAACATGAAACTGATCAGAACTGTCACTGCTTCCTTTTTTGGCAATAAGGGTGCTACATTTGCTACTCCTCAACTCTGTAGCACTTTTCCCATATCTAGGGAAGGTTAGAACATTATGGCAGAGCGTTTCACTAACCTCAGCTCAATCTTCCTTATTCTGGGATTCTAAACTTATCAATCCTAACCAACTTCTCTATTGCACCAAGCTTATTTATCAATTTTCACTGCATCCACCATCTTTACCATTTTATCTTCTATCAATGTTTTGTCAGCACCTTCTTCCTCCATAAACACCAGCCCTGGGCTAGCTGATGGGGCTGGGTCATGGTAGGTAGTTCAAGGGAGTTGGGAAAGAGGCTGAAAAGCAGGACTTCGAGGGTAGTAATCTCTGGGTTACGACCACTGCCCTGGGACAGAGGTGATCTGTACAAGAGGGATGCACTTAAACTGGAGGGGAACTGATATCCTCACAGAGAGGTTCACTTGTACTACTCAGGAAGGTTTGAGCTAGAGAGTCGGGGCTGGAAACTAGAGCAGCTGGTCAGCCAGTGAAGGGATTGAGGAGAAGGTAGATGTTAAGACCAGTAAGTCAGAAAGGAACTACAGGCAGAGACAGGTAAATGAACACAATGGTACTAATGGGCTGAAATGTGTTTATTTCAACACAAGGAATATTATAGGTAAGGCAGATGAGCTTAGGGCCTGAAGCAGTACATGGTACCACGATGTTATGGCCATTACAGAGACTTGCTTGAGAGAGAGACAGGATTGGCTGCTCAACATTCCAAGATTTCATTGTTTTAGATGTGACAGAGAGAAGGTAAAAGCGTTGGAGGAGTTGCAATACTAATCAGGGAGAATGTCACAAGGACAAACTGGAGGGCTCATCCACTGAGGCAATATGGGTAGAGCTAAAAAATAAGATGGGTGCAATCACTCTGAAAGGATTATATATAGGCCCCGCAGCCACTGAGACATTGAGGAACAGATATGTAGGCAGATTATGGAAAGGTGCAATAAAAACAGAGTTGTCAAGTGGGTGACCTTAACTTCCCCAGTGTTGACTGGGACTCCCTTGGAGCAAGATGCTTAGACGGGGCCGAATTTGTTAAATGCATCCAAGAGGGCTTAGAGTCATACAGTAGTACAGCCTTCAGCCCAAACTGGTCAATGCTGACCATGGTGCCCACACTGCAAGTTCCAATTACCCGCATTTAGTCCACATCCCTTTAAACCCTTCCCATTCATGTACCTATCCAGATGTTGCTATTGTACCTGCCTCAACCACTTCTTCTGGCAGCACGCTCCAAATAGTCACCACTCTTTACGTGAAGAAGCTGCCCCTCAGATCCTTCTTAAATCTTTCCCCTCTCACCTTAAACCTATGCCTTCTAGTTTTCAAATCCTCATCCCTGGGATAACGACGATATGTATTCACGCTATCTATGTTCCTCATGATTTTGTACACCTCAATAAGGTCACCCTTCATTCTCCTACATTCCAAGGAATAAAGCCCTATCCTGGCCAACTTCTCCCTATAACTCAGGCCTACTAGACCTGGTAACATCCTCGTAAATCTTCTTTACACACTTTCCAGTTTAACTGTGTCTTCTATAACAAGGTAACCAAAACTGTACACAATATTCCAAGTGCGGCCTCACCAACAACTTGTACAACTGTAGCATAACGTCCCAATTTCTATACTCAATACCTCGACTGATGAAGGCCAACGTGCTAAATGCCTTCTTAACCACCCTGGCTACCTGTGACGCTGCTTTCACTGAACTGCTTTTTGAAACAGTATGTGGATAGTCAAATTAGAGGAGGGACCATACTGTACTTTGTATTGGCTAATGAGCCTGGCCAGGCTACTGACCTTTCAGTGGGAGACCATTTTGGGAACAGTGATCACAATTCCTTAAGTTTTAAGATAGCTACGAATAAGGATAAGTCAGGACCTTACGGGAAGGTACTGAATTGGGGGAGGCCAAATTAAGTCAGTATAGGCAGAAGCTAGGCAGTGTTAATTGGCAGGAGCTGTTATTCAGCAAGTCTACATTTCACATGTGGGAATTGTTTAAAGATCTGCTGATGAGTGTTCAGTACCAGCATGTTCCAGTGAGGAGGAAGGACAGGGATGGCAAGATAAGGGACCCTTGGATAACGAGGGAGGTTGTGAATTTAGTCAAAAGGGAAAAAGAAGCATATGTAAGGTTAGGAAGGTAAAATCGGACAGGGCCTGACAGAAATATAAAGAAAGCAGGAAAGAACTCAAGCAGGCAATTAGGAGAGCAAAAAGGGGGTCATGAAATGACCTTGGCAAGTAGGGTTAAGGAGAATCCCAAGGCATTCTACGGGTACATTTAAAAACAAGAGGATAACTAGGGAGAATGTAGGACCACTCAAGGATTAAGGAGGGAACTTATGCTTGGAGGCAGAGAATGCGTGTGAGATCCTAAATGAGTACTTTGTGTCAGAATTCACCCAGGAGAAGGATATGGAGGATAGCGAGATTTGTGAGGTGCATGCTGATATGCTGGGGAATTTTGAGATCAACAAAGAAGTGGTGTTAAGTCTCTTGAAGAGCATTAAGATGGATAAGTCCACAGGGCCTGTGGTATTTAACCGAGGTTATTGAGAGAGACGAGAGGAGATTGCTGGGGCATTGACCAAGATCTTTGTATCCTCAGTAGCCACTGGAGAGGTCCCAGAGGACTGGTGAGTAGCTAATGTTGTTCCTCTGTTCAAGAAGGAAAATAGAGATAATCCAGGACACTATAGACAGATAAGTCTCACATCGGTGATTGAGAAATTATTGGAGAGAGTTCTTAGGGATAGGATTTACGCACATTTGGAAAAGCGTGGCCTAATAAGGGACAGTCAGCATGGCTTTGTGCAGGGTAAGTCATGTCTTACTAACTTTATTGAATTTTTCAAGGCGTTGACAAAGGTGATTGATGAGGGTGGAGCACTGGATGTTGTTTACGTGGATTTTAGTAAGGCTTTCATGGTAAGCTCATCCAAAAGATTAAGATGCATGGGATCCACGGTGATTTGGCTGCATTGACTCAGAATTGGCTTGCTCATAGAAGACAGAGGGTAGTGGTGGAAGGGTAACTTTTAGGCTGGAGTTCCATGACTAGTGGTGTTCCGCACAGATCCGTACTGGGACCCCTGCTGTTTGAGATGAATGTAAATGACTTGG